CTCACATAAGCTTGCCCAAAAGGACACTTTGTCACGTCAGAGACACCAATGCGCTTGGACTGCAGAAACTCTAGGAGGATCTCATGGACATTGATAAACTTACTTCTCCTTGGGGCATGGGGATGATTGTTGCAATGGCGAGGTCTTCGTTGGCTGGCACAAGATTGCCATGGAGCACATGGTGGCGCGCAGGCCGCCCTTCCACTTCAATTGCATGGAAACCTTCCGGGAGGAACGGCGCAGGGTCAAAGGGGAACGAAGCCATCGCAGGCGACCGGAGAGCAGCCGCTTCAGCCGAAACCCTCAAAGAGAGAGCTGGTTGTTGCAGAGGAGGAGGAGAGTGGTGGGAATGCGAGTCGGCAGCGGCGATAATGGATTGATTTGACTGAACAGGGGAAATGATGCCCTCTCTGATAGATGGGTCTAAATGTGGCGATTGACGGAAGTCTCGGTCACTAGCCAAAAGTGGCAGCTGCGGAAGGGGAGGTTGAATGTGAGGCGTCGGCTCGGAAATCGCGCCTCCAAACCTGCAGTTATCCTTGATATGACCCAGGCAGTGGCACCCTCTGCAACGGATTTTATTTTTGCAACTGGGCCAAAGATGACCCACACCAAGACAACGAATACAGAAGAGGTTGTTGGGCTCCCTAGCAGTCTGGTCCAGCCTAGAATTTTGAATCCCCGTGGATCCCGCCCTCCCGAGAGCCACATTATTGGGTGCAGTTAAGACCGGGTTTAACGATGCTGTTGATTGAGTTAGGCGTTCAGAAACTGACAGGGGACGAGGAGCGTTGGATCTGACCGGCGATCTGGCCGGAGATCTGGCTGGAGATCGAACAATGGAGTTGTGATCATGAAAGAACCTTCGAGTTTGAACAGCCTCAGCATAAGATCTACGATCACCAGAACAGTTTACCACTGTCCATTCTTGATCAAGTTCTTGCTGATACAGCCTGAACTCTCTGTGGAAGTCAGGTCCACCATTGCCCCAAAGGAAAAAAACCAGATTGAAAAGATCATTGACACAATTCCCCCCTTTGATGATAGCAAAACCCACACCCTTGGATGAAACACTGAGCTTGAAGGACCAATTTTGTAGGCATGAAACTTTGAAACGAGAAGCATGACCCCCCAAGCAAGATTGAAGCATGAGACTGACCGAATCAACATTGATACAAAGTTTAGATCGGATCACCTGTGCCACCAGGAAGAATTCCTTGAGCTTACCACCTTCGAAATGATTGACTGGCACACGAAATTGCTTCCAGATGAAGGCTTCGAAGGCTAAGCCTTGCTCGAACCTGAGATCGAGAGAGCCATCTCGGAGAGGCAGATCGAACGGTGGCTGCCGGCGGCCGGAGTGACGGCCGGCAGGAATTGTGGCCGCCGCGGCCGGAGTGGCCAGCGGCGCAGGAGGGGCTAGGCTTTCTCAGCTCCAAACCCATGTTTGACGCTTTAGTATCTTATTAATGCAATTATTCTTTCAGTAGAAGGGATTATTTCTGTTGTTAACAAGTTTGAATTTGGTCTTCAGTAGGTAGTGAGTGTGCGCCTCTATGTTTAATCGGTGTTTCTGAAAAAACATGAAGATGCTAGATTATGGCAGCAAATTAGTGAACTAGTCAATATAATCGAAATGTTAGACAAAACTTCATTGAACTTTGACAAGTACTCCATCTCGTCACTTTAACAAATATGTTTACTTTAACAGAAGGCAGCGCTGGATCAACGCTTACACGTGTGGTGGTGGCTTTGAACCACATTGTTAGTGCCGGAGATAGTTGGGAGCAAGCAGCAGATCCCAGCCATCTCGTCACTGTCACGTAGGATGTTTCATGCTTGATAAGCCGTCTGCTGGGATGCGAGGTTCAGTTCTACGGTAGATTTGAGGATTGGTTGGCACGAGGAGTGGGTGGCATGGCTAAGCTGCCTTTCTTGCCTGGCGTTACTAGCGACGCGAGCTCCGACAGGGACCTTGTTTTTGCTCCTGGCACCGTCGACACGAAGATATAATTGAAAATGTTAGCCTTTTCTTGTCGCTGCCTCGCGTCTCATCTATTTTGTCTGGCTGCAACTCTGATGAGCTATAAGTCCGCCCTGGTTTATATAACAGATCGACCACCATGATTCCATGAACTAGCTGAAAGTGTGCATATTCAATCCGGCTGACCGAAGGTACAAATAATTTTGACCCTCGATCATCAGTCAATTTCCTAACGAGCTGCTCCATGAAAAATCATCAGTCAATTTCCTAGCTAGCTGCTCCATGGATATCCAATGGTGGCAGGACAAGTAATGAACTGGTGTAAAACAATACACAAATGTCGCATTCTGTAAAAAAAAAATCAGGTAATATCGTGTTGCTTTCGGAATAGCATAGTGCGAGACTGACGGTTAATAAGCACCATCCTTTCAGCAAGTATTCTATCAAGTTTTGTTTTGCGATGATTGTCTACTATTAAGTTCTTTAAAAATTTCTTAAGATCGTGGTCACTTTTCTAAGCCTTTGGATCAACATTCAACCATTACGTCCCCACCTTTGTTCCATTTTTCACCGTTTACTAAAACTTGTAGTTATGTGTTGCTAAAATTGAATGCTTAGTTCCCGCAAAAATAAAATAAAATTGAACGCTATAGAGATCATTTAAGTGAATGGGGATGATGAATATTTCAGCCAACTGAGAAATAGCAAAACAGAAATACAATTGCGTGAGGGGTATGAACTAAACAGTTGACCTATAACTAGCTCAGCTTCAGATTGACATAGTTACGTATTTCAACTTGTACCACTAAATTATCTTATGGGTGTGTTTACATCTTCACCGACAGTGTTTCCCTATATTTTTACTAAAAATATACCTGTTTTTTATATATTAATCTAGTGGGCACATACAATATAAAAATAGAAAAATAAATAAATAAAAGACGTCAAGATTTATATATACAAGAAATATTTGTGCAAGTTTAGGCTTAATGTATAGCAACTCCAATTGGGGAAAATATCTGGTGCAGCGGAGCTTGTGGTGCTACCGGTGCACCAAACTCACATTGTGCTTTTAAAATGTTCAAACAATTCTGAAAAAAAAATTAGCGCACTCACATAACATCAATGTAGGTTGTCACAAAATTTCAAGCCAAAATTCGGAACATAAGTCAAAAAACAAAATTGACAAATTCAACACCGAATAGTACATAACATAACTTGAGCTTTAGATTATCGCATTGATGTCAAATTTGTCATTTTTGTATCTCAAAAAATATTTTATTTTTTGATACAAAATTTTGTGACATCATACATTGATGTTGCGTTAACATGCTAGATTTTTTTTTCAGTTTTAAAAAAATATACTATAGCATCCGGTGCACCGGTAACACCACAAGTGCAGGTGCACCAGATACATTCCCGCTCCAATTGCATGTTCTCAAAGTAGAAATGTTCTACAACTTCCAAGATGGTTGCGGTGAATAAGGTTCCTCTAGATCTCCCTCCAATGTAGCACCTCTCTTTGGGTCTTTGAGATTCGACCAGGCATTTTTGTATCTTGGTGGTGACCTTGACATAGTGGCGGGGGCACGCTCCATCCTCATTGGTGGAGGTGGGTGTCATCTTCTTCATGTCTGGTTCTTCTCCTTGTCATGTTCTTCCGGACAATGATCCAATCTTTAGGTTGTGACCACCGACGTCTTTTGGCACAACTACATGACTTTTTGGCCGCAAATTCAAAATCTTGCTGGCTTTAGCTATGTAGAGTTTCAGTCCTGGCACCGAACAAGGCTCACAGTGTGGTTTGTAGGGAGAAGATGGCATTTGCTTCACAAAGGACCCTACTTGTGATTTTTCTTTTTCTGGGGGGTTGCCTTCTAAGGGTTGGACATTTTCTATCGGCTTAATATTAAGAAGATGACATTGCAGAAATACACACCTTTTGGGCCGAGATACCACAAAACCACAACTCTAGAGGATTTTAACATAAAATCACAATTATAGGACTAGTAACAACAACACACAAAAATGTTCTTAGTAGTCAGTTAAGGAGAATTATGACATGTGGGTCCCATGTTAACGGACTCTAGCGGTTGCTTGGCTTGAGAGGCTGGCTTAGGTTGAGTAGACCTCAGCTAGCTTATAAAAGTAAAATATTAAAAATATCTCAAAATCTCAAGGTGGGCTAAATTATTCTAAAATTTTCACAAAATGGACAATTTTTTGGCCAAAGTAGTCTAAATTCGGCCAATTGTTTTTAAAAGAAGTTTTCAAAAGGATCTGAAAAACTAAAGTAATTCACAACATCTTAAATGATCAATATGGAAAATTTTCAGTGGCCCATCCATTTTAAAATTTGGACAACTTTTTCTAAGATTCGGTCAAATTATCTTCAAAAACTCAAAGTTCTCAAAAAATCTTAAAAATTACAGTATTTCTAAACATCTTAAATGATCAATGTAAGAAATTTCAGCCAATTTAGCCCAGCCACTTAAAATTTCTCCACTACTTTGTGTCTATGACTACCGGGTCCGGTCATTTGATTTGTGTTCAACTGGTTGATTTGTGTTGTCTGTTACTGATTAGTCCTAGTGTTGTGGTTTTGTGTTAGCTCAACCCCAAAGTTGTGCATTTGTGCAATTTCCTCTATTAAGAAATTCTCAATATAGTTAAAGAATAAAAAACCATTATTTTAGTTGTTCCGGTCGTTCTCTACCTTGAACCTATCAGCCATTCAGCAACTGGCACCTCTTATCCAGTACCTTGCTTAATTAGCTGCTTACATAGTTACATCCCAAGTGATGATCTGGTGATAAAGTTGTCTGTTCCTCCTTGTTTTCTCCTACAACTTCAGCATAATATGCCCCATCTCCATATCCAAAGCCGGAGAACGGAAGTAACAAGACCCATACATGCATGGTCGAAAACTCTCAAAGACGCATGAAAGCGTATACTAGCTCGCACGAGCTGTTATGCTAGCGCCTCTATAGTCAGCAGTCACCTGCAACTAGCTAGGATGGTCACTGCTTCCACTGCGCTCTCCGTCGCCGCCCTGGTGGCCGGCGTGACGCTGATGCTCATCGTCCACGTCCTCGTGATCTTCTGGGCTCTGCGGCGGGGCGCCGCCCAGGCCTCCAGCGCCGACCTGGAGCGTGCCGTGGACGACGCCTGCGGAGGCAAAGGCAAGGGCCTGTCGGCCGAGGAGCTCGAAGCGCTGCCGTGCCACGACTTCAAAGCTGCCGTCGGAGGCGGCGGGGACTGCGCCGTGTGCCTGGAAGCGTTCGAGTCCGGCGACCGGTGCAGGCGGCTCCCGAGGTGCGAGCACAGCTTCCACGCGCCGTGCGTCGACTCGTGGCTGAAGAAGAGCCAGTGCTGCCCCGTGTGCCGCGCCGACGTGGTTGACCGGCCCAAGGCCGAGGCGGAGGTGGCTGGAGAGGGAGAGGTGCCGGCTCTGACGGTGGAGATGGCGGAGAGGACAAACCCCGCCGCGCTGGAGGTCGTCGTCGAAAGGCTGCAACGGTATAGCTGGGGCCCTCATGCTGTGACCGTGTTACACTAAGATTAATTCGTGTTGTTTGTGCGAGCAGTAATTAAGCTCTTTCGCATTTTGCAGTGTGTATAGTCAATCCTTTCGAATGAAACATTTGTATTTGATCAACGAGGCACGATTTTGTAAACATATCTTGCTTCGACATCCTTCAAATTGTAGTACCACATATTTGAAGTCCATTTATTACAGATGGCACTAATTGGCTGCACCTACCTATCAGTAAGAGCTTCACTATTAGGGATTTGGGCCTTCGTGTCATAACTTTGTCTTCTTCCTAGGTGTGTTTTTTCACT